ACTCAAAAAGGAAGCCTTAAGCAATTATTAGCCAATCCTCAAATTGTGGGAAGTGATTCGGATGCATCTCAAGAAAACACAAGAGAATGGAGATTTTTCAGTAAATTGGGATTTCCTTCAGAACAGCTCTTTCACCAGGCCAGGTGATATACTTGATCGTCCCCAAGAGACTTCTGCAGGGATCCACATTAAAGCAGAATTACAAAAAATAAAGCAGTTGGCTCTGTACCAATGCCTTATATGTTTCAGCAAGATGACAAATCATATAATCATTTTGATTCTTAAAAATAACTTTAGTAAACATACCCATTCATGCAATGTTTTGTTCCTGTGTTTTTCTGATTCAGAACAGAGCAAGTTTTAGCTTGGTTTCCTTGAAGAGACTTAGGTCACTGTATTGTCAGGTTCTTTTTCCTTCTATCCCCCCCTTTCCCCTGAATTTCTGAGCTAGGTTTCTCATTCCATCTATATTTAACAGAAGGGTAGATACAATTTTCCATTCAGCTTTACGAAAGGCCAGGTAAGTAATGAAGGAAGACCCAGTTAATGCCCATGTGAAGGAAAAGCAGGAAGCTCTAACCTGTTCTGCTTGCCATCCTATCAGCACAGATTCATCGACTCTCTTCACCAAATTAGACGTAGCTTTAAATTAGCTACAGCTGAGACTGCTCTCACTTAGCCAGGCATGATATGAAGGATGCTGAAAGAGGATTCAGACTCTTGTTATGAAGGAGGTAAGAGGATCATAAAAGAAAAGGTACAAATCCATAAGAAAAATGGGTTTATAAGATCTACTGCCTCTATTTTTTAAAAATTAAGAATTTAACCAACTGTTTCTAAAGGTGACAGAGGTACTTGCTAATTTTCCATCTTAAACAAACTTCATTATATTAAATTACGTGGTTGAACATACAAGTGTTATTTCTCATAAGATTCCAGACACTACCCTAAAAGGGTAAAGTTATCCCCCGTTTAACCACCAGAGGGCTTTATCCAACAACAAAAAGTTATTTTCCATTTCTATGCTCAATACCTGGGGAAAAAATCAACATGATGACTCTGTTTAGACCCCTAGTCGGATGCAATTCCATAAAAAACTTTGTGAAGAACTGAAGAAAATGGGAATAACTCACAGAGTTGCAGACAACAGTATGGGTGGATGTCCTGCTGTCTTGAGATCAGTTCAAAATCTGAGACCACTCCAGCAACAGTCACTGAGCACAGCTCAGCCTAAAGAAATTACTCAGATTGAAGAAATTAGGCTTAAAGCAGTCCAGTCACACATACCTGCTCCCTGGGCTAGGACATGTGCTGAACAACACAGATTTTCACCTGAGTTTGGCTTTTAAGGCAGCCAAGCAAAAATAAGTTACTGGTAAAGAGCCAAAGCACATTAGAGAAAGAGGAAACAAGGGATGAATGGTTAGTACAGAAAAAGGAACAGCAGCAGAGCCTTATACAGCAGAGGGCGAGACAACAGAGCACAGATCTGGAAGATAGAACGACCCCTTTCTAGTACGTGGGTGGAAAAGGAAGAAGTGCAATACAGTGGAAATGCTTCAAAATTTTAAAACTGAGAAAAGACCTGAAAATAAGGTGCCATCCTTGCCTAGATGAGGGAATCGGATCTGCTGAACAAGCAAGGGCTGGGCTGGAAAAGCGTGGTTATTCTCAGCTGGACAATTGCCATTTATGAAAGCGTTTGCCACCGGACAGCAGGGAGCAGAAGGGCGGCTGCAGGCCTGCAAGGCGCCGCTTCCTTGGCCATGCTCGAGGTAGATTTAAGCTACTCCCTGAAGAGAGGCCTGTAGAAACTTCCAAGTGTCAAGACATTTGCCAAAGGAGAGGCATTTGTTATGCATTTCATTCTAACAGCACACACTAAGCTGAGGTGTTTGCCCAGGAGCTTTGTACTGCACAAGGGTATGAGGGCTCCCAGATTTTTTTGCCCACATCCCTTCCCGCTAGAATCTTTTGGTGAGGGAAAGGGTCCTATATTTCCCTCACTGGTCCAGATACTGAACAACACAAGTCACAGTATTCTAGTAACTGTCACAAAGATCCCCAATTACTCAAGAAAAAAGGTTTTAATAGCACTTTTTTCATATGAATGCAACAGTCACATATTCCCTAGCTACATGTTTCCTGTAAAACTATTTTTTGTGAAATTATGTGGAAAGCTCCATAAAAAGTTTTTCACGGATGAGGACATTCTTCAGCTTAGTAGAGCGGCAGATTTCTATAGAATAAACCTGAGGAGATGCATACATTTTAGAGTAATCTCAGGGGATACTTGCTGGGTTCAGTTTTCTTATTGAGATATCAGTTTTAAGTATTCTTGCCCTTTAAGCTGCCTTCAAGCAATCTTTTGAATATTGTCCTGATCCAAACTAGGTAGATGTCTAGAGGACATTTCTGTTCTCTTTCTGCTGGGTTTGACCATGCAAGATACATTCTGACATTTGGATACAGGTTCAGATTAACCAAATTTCCTCTCTCTGTATTAACCCTCATCTAATCTTTTGTCCCTGAGCACATGGACTCCAAAAATTCCTTATTCTTGTTCTCCATCTCAGAGAAAACTATTGATGCACTACAGGATTATTTAAGATGACATTTTATGGTCAGTCTTATCTAGGAGATCAGATTATACAAGCTTGTTTGTACCTCAAGTTATCCTAAGCAGTCTACATGTAGCCTTGAAGAGTTCTGCCACTTCCACTGTATCAAGTTTTGATATAACTTGAGGTTAAAAACAGCACATAGAAAAGCCAATTCATTGATCAGCTAATTACTTATAAAGCCATTACAGTACAATAACAGCAAGCTAGAGAATTTAAGCATTAGGATGGCAGGAAGTATATTTCCAGCAAAGGCACCTGGTATCTCCTGATAACGGGTGACCTGAGACACAAAAACTGGATCTAATCTATTACTGCAAAATGTCAAGCACTGCAGGCTTATGGAGAGAGAATCAAGGTGACCTGTGAAATATTAGTTTCAGTTACACAATGTGATTTGCTACAGCATTCTTGCCTTACTCATTTCACATGGGATAAAAACACCATGTCATTAAACATTAATACTTTATTCTTGACTGGTAGTTGTGTGAACTGCCTTTGGTTAACACTCAAATCTATTCAAGGCAAACGAGCAGCTTGGTTGTTGGCTTCATGTTACTCATCACTAATCTTAAAAGCAATCAGAAAAATCTCCCCAAAACCTCTTTTGACAAGTTTAGAAGCCCCAGTTACAAATGGTAAGGGGCAGAGACAGAACTCAAAACTTTAACTGACTCATTAGATGCATTAACCATTTTTTTAAAAAAATAAAAAAAAACAAAAATACGTAACACTAAAGCAGCCATGATTTGACAGTGTTCCCACGCAACTTCATATGCAATCACCTGGATTCCATGGGCCATGTTTATTGAAGAGGATCTAGGAAAAAACGTCTGAACTGACCTGTGGCTCATGCTACACTTATGTATCTACCCCTACTTTTCTTAGTAGTTCTATTTTCAGTGTAGTCAAGAAATGGACATGAAAGAAAACTGATTGGAGAGAGGGTGGAAAGCAGACATGGAGGGATTCAGAAGAGCCACTGAATCAATCCCAGTAAGGCTCCTCGTAGGTGTGTAGCTCTCCTGTTCGTATGCTCAGTGCCCTTTGAGCAGTGAGCAAGAATTATCAATTTTCTGCCTTCTGCAAATAAAGACAAGATACTAGAAAGGCCATCTCCTCAACACCAAATTGCAGCTCCATCTTCATCCCAGGTACAGCTTCCTCTTGGAATTTTCCCCATCAGATCTTAGACAGGAACATTATGAGTGCCTGATTGATCACACAACTAGCAATACTCTTCTGAGCTAAGGTACTCATTTGAAAGTACAGGAGTTCAAGTATCTCTGCTTAGCCTAACAATTTAACACTCACATCCAGAAATTCCCTTTTAGAGATAAAGAGGAAACTTTCCTTGATAAAAGATCCTGCTTAATAAACAAGGCATAACTTTCCACCTACCTCTTCTAGCAGGTGTTCCAGATAACAGAATTTGATAGCCAGCCAACAGACAACCAACTACTAGTCTAAACTATCTCTAAGATGTCTGCAAAAGGTCAGCAGACCTATATAACATTAAGCCTTAGGTACACATGCCACTGAGTGAACTTAACAAGTATGTTTTAGGTGCTCTCAGAGGTCAGAAGATGGTGCTAAAGAACAAATATGAAAGGGTAGGTATTAATACCATTCTCAATTTCAGATTTTAGCATGTTATCAGCACTGTTACCCAAAGAACATAATACGAAATGAAGCTTAAGAGTCGTAAATAAACACACATCCATTTATTTTCCAGCAACATCCCATACAAAAAAAAGCAATAGAAACATTAACTGCTTTCAGCAGAAAGTCTGTACAGTGTTATCATTTACAACAGTTTTACATTTTAAAATCAGCAAATAAAAAGTGAGCACTGTTCTTAAAACACCTTGTTTTCTGAACTGTTTTAAGAGATCTTGACTATTTACAGACTTCCCAGGCTACTGCTTCTATTACTGTTATTCAAGCTTTACCATATGAACTGCAAATTCTTTCATTTACTTTCCCATTGTTTCAAAAGCATTTCTTTGCAAATAAAAATAACCTGCTCTTTCTTAAGGCTGTTAAATTTAACTGCAGTGGCCCTGTTTACTTGTAAAAATAATCAGCACCGTCCAGCTACCACCTGCATTATCTACAAATAGATTTTTTTGAAAAAAGAGACAAATGAAAAAGCAAAGTGATATATGGTCAAAAACATTTCTCTACTTTGCTCTTTACATGTAGGTGGCAACTGAAGTTACGAACTCGACTATGGGGAAAAAACAACGAGATCTTACTGAACTATTTATAATCAGTTGAGGACAGCATTGCCTTTGGCTATTTTTCTGGCCATATGTTGAAATATTTTATTAAAAAAATGCTGAAATGTTTTATAAAAAAAATCTGATATGCATAAATTAGAAGTTACAAAGTCACACAACTTAATTCTATTTTTACATAGGTTTGGTCCAGAGGATGCATTGACCAGCCACAGCTTAGAGAACAGTCTTGAACTTTGCTCAGGCTTTCATACTATTAACAGGTAATAGTTGATTAATCAGGCTAACCTCTCAAATTTAAAAGAAACTTCCTCTGAAATAATCTGCCCAAGACTATTTAACTCACAGTATTGAAATCTTTAAGTGGCTCACTCAAACATGCTTCCAAGTCAAATTCACCTTCTGCTTGATAGTCGACATGTCTGACTTTTGTGGGAGTGCCAGAGTAAGTTTCCTGGAATGCAAAGTCAGTGAAGAATTAGCCAAATGCAACTTGGTTGCACAATAACATATTTCACTTTGGTAACTTATTTATCCCTCTAACAGATGCTTATGAACACTTTAAATATCACTTTATAAATATCACAAATAACAGTTTAAGTAAAAAAGACTAATACAAGACTGAAGAATTTAAATGAATGCTTTTCTCTCCATCCAACTATTTCCTAAGATTTTTAATGTATGTTCAAAGTATTATATATTCAGATACTGAAATTATACATATTAAATATTCATCAGAGAAAGAAACTCCTTAAGAAAAAATATTATTGAATTTTTATGGAAGCTTACTGTTCAACTGTGCAAAATGTTTCCTGGATATAAAAATAGCCAGCTTCAAGAAGCTGGACTGAATTATGTCCTCTTTTAACATTAGGTATCACAATCTTAATAGCAAATGTTTTCTCTTTAGACCACAGGTCACAAGTGGCATGTTTTAAACACATGCAAATATTCTCTTTTGTAGGCTACAAAGAACAAGGTATCTCACGGCAGCAGATCATAAAAGTTCTGTCTGCGCTAGAGACAAACACTGGCTATAGGGGAAAACATCAGTTCCTCTGCAACTTAAATCACTCAGCTGTATACACAGCCTCTACCCACACCTGGCAGGTTACAGAGTCTGATGTATTCAAGCCACTCTTGATGTAAGTAGTGGACTGATTATTAAAAATATATTTATGCACGTATTTATGCAATTATTTATGCAAGGGGATATTCTTACATAGTTATCTTGAGAACTTGTTTGAGACTCAGTAGAACTGCTTCCGATGGATTCTGTCTCCATCTCACCAAGATCAACAGGACTACTGTAAAATAATTCAAAAACATACAGCTTAGAACAAATTCCCTTTTCCTCACAGGAAGTTTAGTGCATTTTGTGGCGTGGTTCTAGAAGCGATACTGGAACAAGAACAAAGAGACCTACAGAGATTACACGGACAAAGTTGACAAGTTGCTGAGACCAAACAGAACTGCAAGTTAACTAACACTGTCAAAACATCCAAAGATAAAATTAAAGCCTTGAGGCAAATACCCAATGCTCAAGCAATGCCTCAAGAGAGGGCAAATGTTATGAAATGAGCAAGGAACTTGCTTTCACAGAGACAATGCTAATTGCCTTCCAACATCAAATTAATGCACACAATCAGACCCCCGCATCTAGGGTTAACATTTCAACAGCAACATATACTGTAGGCGTCACGCTAAGATAACAGCTGACTCCATGTCAATGACAAGTAAAAATTAAACTAAATGAAGCCTTTGATTTTAGATCATATTGTTCTATACTGATTTTATCATCAGGAAAAAAGAATATTTTTGTTGTTAAGATATATGTTTTTGTAAGGAACCAGTTACATCTCTTTTCCTTCATTTTGTAGTTCCACCTTACTTTCTTTTGTAATTTGCTCCATCAAGGTGTCTTCCACCTCCACCCCCAACCCTGAGGCAAGGGAGCTGGTTTGTTTGTTTGTTTGTTGTCTACAGATGAAAAATGTATGTCACATTTACATCTTCCAGGGCAAGAGATCACACTGGCCTAGACTATGAGCTCTCATAGCAATGTTTTTAATTTAATACTACCCTGAGGTGATTTTACTAGTCTTTCTTCTCAGAAAGAATTTATACTACTGCTCTTGGAATAGTAAATGAAAAGAGCACAGAGCATGTTCTCATACACTGTATTGTTCTGAGCTCAATATTCATGAGTCATCTGAAAGTCAGTTAGCCAAACTCTCCAGCACTGCTTTCACCACAAATCACTTTTCCCTGCAGAATTAGCCTACAGACTGTTCTGAAAGGATGAGGCTGCCTTGCTAGTGTAGTACATCCCTTATAGAGCACTGCAGTAGGACCTCTGGTTTCACCCAGAGGAAAGCTGCTAAAAAGAGGGACACACAGCCATGTCCTTGCAAGGACACCAGCTAAACCCAGTCCTACCAACTAGGAGCAGACAACTCTCCAAAGTCAGCTAACACCCATTCTGTCCGCAAGGGAACTGAAGAGGACTAGATAGCACTACATGTAGATAAAGGGAAAACATTTATAAATATCCAGAATAGTGGATACATACATTTCTTGCAGATCACATCCTTCTTCAGTAGGTGGATCCCAGGAATGCAATGCCACTTTCCATAGTTTAATTTGCTGGTCCCATGACCTACGGCTGTACTTCTTAAATTTATTCGGAGTTCTGGGATGAACTCCTGATATACGATGGCACCTGTTCAGATGTTAAGGAAAAAAAATAATGCTTTTCGCACAGACATATCAAGTAGCTTTAAATTCCAAGACTAGTGGTCTGCTAAAGAAGTTGATTATAGAGCAACATGCTCTGAAAAAAGTAACACAACCTAGAGAGGAAAAACTCCACAACTGGCACAAGTCCAGGTTTAAGTAAAAGGTTATCTCCATATTCACATTTTAGATTTCCCATCTTCGATTAGTTTAAATATAAATTGATTATCCTAAGTCTGAAGGCTTGAAAACTTCAGCATCTGGCTTCTGCATTTAATATGCCTTTCAAACCTAAGAGCACCAAGGCTCTGTTTTGCCTTTTAGCTTAGTAAGGTAGAAAAGCTGACTGTAAAGTTTCATTTCTTCTAGTTGTCAATTGCAACCACAATCAAAACACCTTTCATTTCTGCAGCATTTGTTTTTCCACATAAGTTTCAGTCATCCTGGGGAGAGGTCAAAAGTCTTAGAAAACCAATTTTGCAGATGCCTTCATTTGAATAGGCCTCAGATACCAAGAGCAGCCTGTTAATATACTTATATGAATATGCCATACCTGTTTGTTACATGTAATAGAGCTTTCCGGAATTCAAAACTTACCTAGGAACTTCTTTAATATATCTATCATATGCAATGGTGTTTTTTCCATAGTTTATCTGTTTTTGCCTTCTCATCAAAACCACTTCATCTGTCTCAAGTTCCACTGTTATACTGGACTCCTTTGAGTCAGAACTAGAAAAAATAAGTGAGAATTTAGAAATACTAGAAAGCAAAAGATAATCAAAGACAAACAGATGTAAAAGTTAAAAAATTAATGCGTTCTTGTTGAATTAACATGTTACAGCAGATGAGGATGAACTATTTCAAGTTGTGGGTTTTCAGAATAACATGGCACATGTTAAATTGAGACCCACTGTCAGGATTTTCCTCAGCTAAGCTAGAAATTGCTTACCTTCCAGAGGAGGACTTTCTTTCTCTTGAAAATTCATTTATCAGAAGTTTTCTTCTATATCTGTAAGAGTTCAAATCAAGATTCTTAAGAGTATACACAAAGAGAAAATAAGATACCCACACACACAGAGCTCACAGTTTATTACACTTCTATTAAGCAATAGTATTGAAGTCAACCCACACACCTTCTCATTTAGGGAAAATTGAAAGATCTATTCCATAAACCCCCAAACTTACTGTTTCCAAGTCTTCTCCCTAAAATTCTTTCCAGAGTTACTATACCCACAACAGCAACTGAGGCAATGACATCCAAAGAAAAGGAGATTTAGGACAGGACAAAAGAGGGACATTCAGCCCTGTACATTAACGCTCCAAAGAGCCACTCTTATAGGACTTCTAGCAGGCCAGTTGAAGCTGGCCTAAAGGCAGCACTTACTCTCTGTGGGCATTGGGCCTTCATTAGTCTCTAGCTTTGCTAGAATCATGAGGTTAAATTCAGTAGAGATTCCACAAGACAAGCACCATTTCCCCTCTTTTTCTCATTTCATTTTGCACAGTACCTTGCAATTTCTTTGTTAACATTGGTCCTCATTTCATCTTCTTCCACTGCAGTTCCCCAGTCTGAACACCGTGAAAGAGGTCCAGGACCTTCTGGTGTTGTAAAACTGAGAAGAGAGCCTCTATATTAATTTTTGATTTTGTAGTATTTTTCCTCCACACTGTCCTGAGATTTTAGCTTAACAGTTTTCATGTATTCATTAATAATACTCTTTTTGGGTGTGAGAATCATGTACAATTCTATTAAAAAAACCAAACCTCATTGTAAGGCCTCATCTTGGGTGTGGAAGGAGTGCGGTTTTTTTCCTCTTTTGCTGCTTCTTTTTTTTTTCTGCAAGTTTCTATACACATAGAAAGGTACCAGTGTTTCAGGTCAAATATCCTACAGCATTTTCCCCATTGTAGCTGTTATCCTTCAGAAAACTCAATATGAAATACCCTCGTAACTAATTTACTCCCTTAGGTATTTTGAATCCACTCGAGCAGTTAAATATTTACCCTTTCATGGTTGCAGAGCCAGTAAAAGTGGGAAAGAAAGAAAAAAAAAAACACACATACAGAAGTTGTACAGCTAATGAAATAAAACAATGCGATAGCACCTGAACTATCTCATGGGAAAACATAATTTGAAGAATAAGCAAACACACCAAATAAAGTTCAATTTGTAGGTCATAAGCTGATCTTTGCTCTGACCTTGCAAACTGATGTGTCTTTACTGGAGCCCATTAGGGTCATGAGCAGATTCAGACTGTTTTGGAGGCAAAGCTCATATCCCCTCCTAGCAAACAGTAGCTGCCCAATTTCAAACTCTTAAACATGTTTTGCAGCTTAGCTCCTCATCCTCCCAGAGGAGGGGATAATTTGGGGGGAAACCAAGTTTTCCTCAAAGCACTAACTCAAAACTACAGAGCACTATTTAAACCCCATCAGTGGAGCAGGAAAGCAGGGCTTAAGGCCCATACATCAAAATTTGGTTGGACAATCCTGCCACTATGATGGCGGCTCATGATAAATGCCTGGGATCAAGCATGAAATATAAGAGAAAGGAATGAAGAATGTGGTGTAAGACATCTAAGAACCCCAGAATGGCTGAGGTTGGAAGGGACCTCTAGAGTTCATCTAGTCCAACCCCCCTGCTCCAGCAGGGACACCCAGAGCACGTGGCACAGGGTGGCATCCAGGCAGGTTTGGAAGATCTCCAGAGAAGGAGACTCCACAGCCTCTCTGGGCAGCCTGTTCCACGCTGTCACCCTCGCGGTAAATGAAACACGCTTTTATGTATTCTTTATAAGAAGCGGCTCTAGACAAAATGCTGCATTCCTTCCTTTCTTAAGACCCAACATTTAACCCCAGGGATGTTAACACTGACTAACAACAGCATTAACATGAGCAGGAAGGACTTGGAAAAATCAAGTGCAGTAACGCGGCCCCCGGGCACGGCCGAGCGGCGCGGGCCGGCGCGCGG